GCTGCAACTTCATCGTGAATTACCAGGATTGATGAACCAACACAAACAAGTGTGGGATGAAATTTGTGCCTGTGAGGTGAGCATTCAAAGTCACTGTGAGGAGGGCACCACCGCAATCAACTTTCATGGTGTTCTGGAGACCGATGATTTTACAACCATGTCAACCTTCTTCGACATCCATAAAATGTTGGCCAAAAGTGTGGCTCAACTCCAAGCCGACTTGTGTGACGGAGGGTTAACGAATGAGGGCGGTGTTGCCTCGGATGTGCAAAAGGCTGCTTTCACTTCTCTGTGTGAGGTCAAACCCCTCCGACCCTCACATTTCATGAAGAGTGCGGCTGCTCTCTTAATTGTCCATTTCTACCGACTTAAAGTGGCTTGGTGGCGATATTGGCGTCATTTGGAGGCACTGAGCGCCAAGTTGGATTTATTGAGGTGATACGAAGAAAGTTGCATGTCATTTACGCTATATAGTTACTGCTAATGTAGTCTTTTAAGAATGGTATATTCCTCCTCCTCCTCCTCCTCCTCCTCCTTATTTTAACTTTCCTTTAGCAAATACTACGGTTTGTTTGAGAGCCACACAGGAGCAGAGAGAAATAATTAAAGCATTCCAGCTACCTGCCTCTTGTTGACTGTCAGAAGACGACTAGACTGATGTTGTCTTGTCCAAAACAATCACAGCGAAGGGGATTAAACGTTCAAAATCAATACACTTTAAAGAATGAAAAGCTTTACCAGTAATTGTGTTTTAATTATACTTTCTTGTTCTTTTAAAGAGATATTCAAAATTTTGAGAATTGGCTCACATCAATGGAAGAAGGCATGGATACAAGGGGTTTGGGTTCTAGCCTGGAGGAGACTATGGCTCTCACTGATAAACATCGCGAGTTTTCACGAAGCCTTGCACTTCAAGGTGAAAAGTACAAGCGTTTAGCTGAATTTGAAATGGTAAATTCCATTTCGTTTATATTTTTACAAAAAGAGTCGATTTCAAAGGTGAGTACAAGTCAAATATTTT